ATTTCAGGTTCAGAAATCAGATTATTCTGTTGAGCAGTGATTGTGTACGGGGAGGTACGCGAAAAGGGGAGCCATAAGATCGTGCCACTGGCGGGGTAGCGTGGCGTAGCGCCTCGGCCGCCCCAGAGCAGATGAGTGGCGCGAGCGGCTGCCCATAGGTTAGGTTGCGTGCCGTTACACTTCAGTCAGATTACAGTATCTAATAGTTGTGAATCTAGGCATGCACCATGGCATCACATTTACCACCACAGGATCAAGGTTTATTGCGACAGTTGAGTCACTGTCACCGAATTAAAATTGTATTTATGTGGTGTCCGAACACTGACTAGGATACCGTTACGGTTTCGAAAATTATGTTTTGGGGTCGATCTAAATGTCAGTGTTTAAATAGGAGTGTATGTTGTTGTTGCTTAGTTAGGGTCTCACTTCACGAGTACATACAAATTTGTCTAATGCAAAACTGCAAATGACAACAAAGAGAGGTTATCCCGTCATCAACCACACGAAGAGCACTTGTTATCACTCACCGCAGCGCCGTATGGCTTCATAGTTGTCTTTTGATTTCCGGTGTGACTTTTTATCTTCAATGGTCAATTCCTTCCACTCTGAGGCGGTGAAAAACACTTTAATATCTCCATATTCGCTATCGTCAGCCTCAGCGCTCGACATGGTGGTCAGCACCACTGGCTGCCGACTGATACCGAAGAACCCTCGGAGCGGGTAAAGCTTGCTGCAAAATTACGCGCGATTTCAGATGAGCGGGAGCTCAGCTGAGCCTGCCACTCTCTTGTTGACAGTATAAGAGAGATCGCACATTGAATGCTCAAAGCAATTTTTTTTTAGATAACGTGTTCGCTTTCTCAGTCGAATCCTCGTTAAAAGCGTGTTGAAAGGAAAGAAAAGCTTGATGCCGCGGCGTAGTGAGGGCGTGGGGCGTAGCGACGCCTCTACGGTCCTGGAATAGTACGGAGTCGAAAATGAAGCCGGAAATAGACGAGTAGAGGGGTGGGGTGGGGAACCTGACAAAGAAGCACGCAACATGCTGTAATTATGTTGAGTATGAATTAACTATCTAGTTGTGCTTGTTGAGCGGCAACGGAAATAGCAAATAATAAGAGAACACGCTGTGCGTTTCTCCACGTCCCGCACGCCGCAACAGACAGTCGTTGTGAAACGCGTGAAATGGTAATCTCACAAAGGGACCACCGCCATTACTCACAGTAGAGGAGTTCCGGTCCAGATAAGAGAAACAAAAATCGTCGGGGGAAAAAAGCCGCTTGCTTTTATTTTTTGCAGCTTTTGCCCCTGCCTGTGCCTTTGCCTCATTATCACCAGTAATCAGCTTGGCCTGCCTGCGT